AGTTTTGGTATATTAAAACAAAATGGCGACGAGTGAGTTAGGTAAAGTCTTAGCTTTAGCGAATCATTTAAAATGTATAGTATACAAATATTTAATAAAGCACACATACCTAGCCTGACCTAGGGTTAAAAAAAAAAAAATTTTTTAATTTAGAAAAATTTATATATAAGTTTATAAATTTTTTATTTTATTAATAATTTTTTTCTAAATAATTTTGATAATTAATTGTCAAATTTCTAATAAATAGTTTTAATAAATAATTATCAAATTTTTAATAAATAGTTTTAAGAAATAATTAATAAATTACTAATAAATAATTAATAAGTTGTTAGTAAATTATTAATAAATTGTTAATAAATTATAAATATATCAATTTTTATAATATTTATAGTCAAATTATATAGTTCTGATTTATTTATATCATTAATTTACTAAATTGTTTATTTTTTTGCTAAATATTATACAAGTAGCAATATGCTAAATAAAAAATTTTTTTTTTGATTAGCATATAAAATATTTAAAATCTTTGTAACTTTTAAAATAAAAGATTATAAAGATTCTATTATAGTAAAAAGACTTATTATTTTTTTTAATTATCTTAATTTTTTTAAAACTTTTACTTTTATAGTTTTTAAAAATTTTATCTATCTTATTTGATTATAAATTTTTAGTAATATAAATTCATATTAAAGATAATTAACTAATATGAAACATATTAATTTATAGAATATAAATAAGTTTCTATTGATTATGTTTCTATACTTTTATAATATTGAAAAAAAAAAGTTTGAGAAATTATTTTTATTTTTTTTCAGAAGTATTAGAGCCTTAAAGAAAATATTAAAGTTATCAAAAGATCAAAAAATAAATAATATAAATTGTAAAATCCTATTCTTCTTAAATTTCTTTAATGATAGGAAAATCTCTTTAACTAGAAGTTAAGATCTTTAAATTTCTTTTGAGCTATTCCAATTATATACTTGCTTAAATAATAAATCCAATTGAATTGATTTATCTAATACTATAGGTAGTAATAAAAAGAATTTCTTTCAAGGTTCAAATAAAAATAAGAAGAATATTTCAATCAAACAAATCTTTCTTGAGAAAAGATTATTCAGTTGATAGATTTTTTTAAAAAAGCTTGAATCATACTCTTTTCTTCTTTGTTTTTTTCACTTTCCCTTTATTAACTTAGCAATTTATGATTTTTAAACAATCTATAATAACAAACTGTTAATGATAAACCTAGTAGATAAAGATTTATATCAATTCTCTAGAAAAGTGAATATTGTTTCCTAGATTTGACTTAAAGTACTTCAGTGCAATGACAAGTTAATCATTATATGAAAAATCTGTAATATTGTAAATAGTTATATAAACTTTTCAATAAAGATTAAGCTACATGGTATAATTGCGGATTAAAAAAAAAAGAAAAGAAATCAAATTATATAATTTAAAGATTCGCATAGACTCGCATAGATACGCATACTATATAAATTACTATGGCTGGAGAATCGAATCGTTAGGATCCTTAATATTTTGTTTTATATTTATAGAAAAAATTTATCCATTTAAGAATTACAAAAAAGTAAAAATTATTCTTAGAAATCGAATTTAAAATACGTGTATTAACTTTACATACAGCATTGATTCAATGCTTCAAGCTAACCCGACTTAGAGTTAAAAAAAAAAATCAGTTCATGAGAAAAAATGCACTGCTCTAGCTTTTCCCCAAATAAGGTATACAAACATCCTACCCTTTTTAGCCGTAGCATTTCACATGATCTTGAAACGCGCTTTCGCCACATTATGCAATGGCTTACCTACCAAATGCTTTCCTGCATGCTTCCGACCGACGCTTTAATGACGGAAAACAAGCCATGAGCAGATGGATGCCAGCATCAGTCAATTGTCCTCAGAAGATTGAATCGATAAAGCCTCTCTTATAGTTGTAATAAAATTTGCATTCAAAATTGTAGTCACCGAACCCACCTTGACACCGAAAGTATACCCAGCCAAGCCCAAGCCACCTCAGCACAGCCGACAAAGCCTCCGAAATGTTACAAATGAGATTTGGACACGGATGATCAAATTTTACAAGGTTTGATTTTATATGTACGATTTTCGACGTTTTTCTTCAGTTTTCACTCTTGGACTCAGTCATGGAAATTCTGCTAATAAAACTTCCGTTATTTTACATATTATTCATAACTACTCTTATAGCCTTTTCTGCTGCTACCTCAATACCCTCATCTCAGAGAAAACGGGACTATGTGAAAAATTACTACTACGCCATTATACTTGCAGATGATTATGCTACACCACACGACGTTGAGATACTTTTAAATGTTCATTTCGAAGGACAAATTGGTGCTCTTGAAAATCATTACTTATTTAGTTCTCCAAAGGAACTAGCACCTCACAAATTAGCTTCTCGTTCGCCGGGGGCCGAAGATAACTCCAACGACCGTGTATTGTTGGAATACGAAAAGCTTAAAAAAAAGCGACACTCAAATCCATTAGCTTTAGGAAAAAGGGAAACAAACATTATAGATGGCATTCTTTCCGTGGAAAAGCAAAAGCTGAGAAAACGACACAAGAGGATTCCGCCGCCTAATACACATAGCAACCCCTTAGGTATTAAAGATCCAGGCTTTCAATATCAATGGCACTTGGTAATTTATTTAGTTATGTTGCTATTGGCGCAATGCAATTTTTATTACTCACATGTTATCGATTTTCTCATTTTTAGCTAAATGTCCAGGAAAAGAATGATATTAATGTAACAGGAGTATGGGAGGAAGGTATATATCTTGAACCACTTAATTTATCCTTTTAAGATTTTTAGGGATAAAAATTTATACTCGCTTTAATTTCGATCGACAATGTACTAATTTTACAGACGAAAATTATTGCTATGCATAAGGAATAACCGGCAAAGGCGTGATAACCGCAATAATAGATGATGGACTAGACTTGTCGAGTGATGATTTATCTGACAATTTTGTATGTATTCTTTATATTCTATTTTCGAGGGTTCCAAAGCTGCTTTATTCTTACACTGACATTTTTATAAAGTATGCCGAAGGGTCTTATGACTTTAACGATAACAACCCATTACCAAGACCTCGGCTTTCGGATGACACGCATGGGACCCGATGTGCCGGTGAGATTGCAGCGGTAAAAAATGATGTATGCGGTGTTGGTGTCGCTCCCGATGCCAAAATTGCAGGTGAATACAATTGATTTGTTGACTGTTGTCAATTATTATTAAGTTTCTTAAAATAATATTGGTTTGTAATGTTAAAGGGATTAGAATACTGTCAGGACAAATCACGGATGCTGATGAGGCTACAGCCTTAAATTATGATTTTCAGAATAATCAAATATATTCTTGTAGTTGGGGGCCACCGGACGATGGTAAATCCGCAGAAGCTCCTAAAGGTCTAATACTTAAAGCCATAGAGAAGGGAATAAAAGAGGGTCGTGGGGGAAAAGGAAGTATATTTGTGTTCGCCTCCGGTAATGGTGGTGCCCTAGACGACAATTGCAACTACGATGGGTATACAAATAGTTTATACACCGTCACTGTGGGTGCGATTGATCGCACTAATTCACATCCGTATTATGCTGAAAGATGTGCGGCTCTTTTAATATCCACGTATAGTAGCGGGAGCGGAAGTTACATCGTAAATTTACTTTGACTTACATATGATACATTGTTTCATATTGTTTCGTGACCCGAGATAACATCATTTAATAACATATATTAGTACACTACTGATGTTGGTAAACGAAATTGTACCAATTTACATGGTGGAACATCCGCTGCCGCGCCAATTGCAACAGGAGTTTTCGCTTTAGTTCTACAAATCAGGTGAGTATCCTCTATATTCACTACTGGTATTAGTTAAACAATTATAAACCATTTTCTTACATCTCTTAGGCCAGATCTTACTTGGCGAGATATACAATATTTGACTATGTTGAGCGCCGTGCCATTCAATTTGGATGAGCCACAATGGGAACGCACTAAAGCTGGAAGATTATTTAGTTATAGATGGGGTTATGGTAAATTAGATGCATATAAAATAATTCAAAATGCTAAAACGTACAAAAATCTAGGACCTCAAGTTAATCTAGAGATGCCGATTATTACCATCAACAAACCTATACCGAATGACGACGAAGGAATTTTAAGCAAGGTGGTCGTGACTCAGGAATTGTTAGATAATGTAACCTTAGGTAGACTGGAACATGTCACTGTTACCATAAACATTAATCATACACGTAGAGGAGATATTGAAGTAGACCTGATAAGTCCGAATAACATAAATTCGAAACTTGGCGAAACAAGACAATATGACGAACACAACTCGGGTCTAGAAAACTGGACTTTCATGACATTGAAGCATTGGTATGACTTTTCCAGAAAAAAAAAAAACTGCGCGTTATATTGAATCCTCGCTATTAGTCCTAACAAATAACTTCGTAAATATTCAGGGACGAATCACCTCTCGGTGAATGGACAATCCAAGTAAGGGACAGACAAAATCCACAACACACAGGTATTTTTGTAGACTGGATGATCAAATTTTGGGGAGAACAGATGAATATCACGTCTATTCCATCTACCTCTGGCGCAGTTCCGCTGCCAACTGAAAGTACAACGACGACGCCATCCGTAGAAACTTTGTCGTCTACAACAGAATACACCGCATCAATATCATCCACTTTAGTAGTTACTCCAACAGAAACGAACTTTAATTCAACGTTAGGATCGGAAGACGAGAACTCGACTAGTTGGCTTTTTACTGGTATTGGAATATCGATTGCTTTTATATTTGCCGGAATGCTATATTGGATATACGCCGTAAGGAAAGGATGTTGGAAAACTGGTAAAAGAAAATTCGGAAGATTCTTTTCGCGAGACGCTTACGAATCTGTATTGCAGTCAGGAGATGTCTCAAATGGAGCCGAGGAATTTATTTCTCTTAATAGAAGCAAACATTCTAAGACGTCAAGAGAATATGACGCATTTGGTGATACTTCTGAAGAAGAGGATAACGAGAGTACTCATGTAGTGTTTGAGAGTTCTTATATGGACGAAGATGTCAATGAGGATGAGAAAGGTAATGACGAATCAAACGGTGAGGACCTGATTGAGCATCAAGATGATGACCGTAATGTTGGTGGTTCAAGCAACGACGTGTCTCGACAAGGTAAGAATAATAAAAACCGGAGCCACGACTTTTTCAGACTAGTGCGCAGCGATGACTTGTGAATACTAACCTAAGAACTTTTTTTCTTTTCAGTTTAATAAGTTGGGGATTTTCTCACTCTTTATTCTTTTGAAAGGTCATGAATGTTATACGGAATCTACGCGCGAACATTCTCTTTATTTAGTACTACATTATAGATATATCAGGCATTCTAAAATTTTTTTGTCTTAAGGCTGAGTTTATTTTAGATTAATATGCTAGAGTTATAAAATTAGGTTGAACAAATGGTTCTCATTTAATTTATGGTAAATTAGGATAAACATAATGCTAATTTGAAAATGTTGGTTTACACATCTTAGAAATGGGTCAAATCGATTTTGGTCTTATAAATGATACAATCAAAAAGAAACCTATTTTTACGAATTCATAACTTCACGTTACGAAATGTGCGGATTGACTGTAACACATCATTTATAATCCAAATTAGTCTTTGATTACAAATTCACATAGCAACGCACGAAGAAAATCTCTGGTGTTCCTGTCCGTCTATCAGGATGTGACAGTTTTATTATCAACGTTTTGTATGTTTCCGCGTGCAGAACATATAAATATAGGCTCTGACTTATAAGATCACTTTACCCCTGTTTCTTCGGCTTTGTATTTTAGCATTTTTCTGAACATGAGTGGACCTATTTCTATTGTGCATAAGAAAATTACAAATGTTCATAAGAAATCAGGTATTACAGAATTCAATGTTACTGAAATAAAAGGTGCCCTATCAAGTCCAAATCTTTCTCAAGACAATGATACCACAGATGATGCAGGAGAACCTTCATTTTCAAGTATTTCGAGTTTGGATCTCAATGATCAAATAATTCTCTTGAGGCATGTATTAAACATTTCTCAAGATCTTAGAGTCAAAAAATTTTCACGAACAATCAATTTGAAAGAATCTGAATCTATAAAAAGGCAGATATCAATATTTTTCACTTTGATGGATACATGCTACAAATCAATCCAGAATATTAACATTTCACCTATTATTCTGAAGTTTCACAAAAGATGTCATTAAAATTTCTTTACAAATTTAAACAAGTATACAGTTATTTAAAAAATGAGTTTTCAAATATACTATCTGAGAAAAAGGTACAAAAATAGCTTTTCAAGTTTGGACCCTTCTTATAGGTAAAAGTTTACTTCAAGACCTCTTGAATATTGGAGACATAAAATCAAGTAAGTTTAGAATTCAATATATCCAAGATAGAAAAAGAAAGAGAGGGGAATCAAGTAACAGTTTGGATTTAAATATTGATATTTCTAGGGTTTTTAAGAAACATTTCTATATGAAAATTATATACATTTATTGAAACTAATGATGAGTCTATAAAGTATTTAACATATAAAATTTTGTAGATCATTTATGTTCCTTTTTGAGAAACAAAATTTATAACTCTTCACTTCAATAGGAACAAAATCAAGAAATAATATAAATTAATGATTTAGATAATGGAGAACAATTGTAGGTAGTTTTTTTATAATTATTAATTTAAAAATTTTAATGCTTTCTAGTGAGGGACATTTGACTTTTGTCCCTTCCTTTCCCTTTAGGAACCCATCTTTAATTGCAGCTAGACCTCATTTAATAAAATTATTAAATACTCTTAACAATAATTGAGTTTTATTGAATATTGTTAATAGTGTAATAATAATATAGTTCAAAAATTTTCGAAATAATAAATAGGATATTTTTATTAAAGAAATTAAAAACTTTTAATTTTTTTTTAAATTTGTATTATTTGCTTATTATTTTTAATAATAAAAAATAAATTTGATTATATATATATAAAAGTTGAATTTGTAAAATTCAACAACTTTATTATAGATCAAATACCATTAACAATATATAAAAATATATTTAAAATAAACCATATTATGAGAAAGAAATAAGAATAAAAGTTGAGCATTATTGGTTAAAATTCAAATTAAATTATCATATTTATTATAATATATAACATAAATAAAGAATTTATAGTAACTATAATTGAAATATATAATAATGACAAAAAATAAAAATCTAATGACATTCTTCTCTTTTTTCTCATAAAATTAATCAATTCTTTATATACACCTTCTTTATCAATCAAAATAATATTAAAACTTGATTTGTTTACTTTTCAAATCATAACTAGTATATATGAACTCTTAGAATTAATCATTAAAACTCCAATCCATCTTTTTAAAAGTTATAATAAAGTATTTTTCAATTCACGAATAATATTTATACTTAAATTTATAATATTATGTGAATAATAATTTTTATTATAATTAAGACATCAAATAAAATGTTCATGATACTAGATATATATATCAATTAGATATACAGTATATATCAATCCAAAGTGATTACAAAGTGTTTTCAAATTTATACAATTCTTCTAAGAACTATAGACTAGGACTTTTTCATATAATAAAAACAATTATTTATAAGGTATTACTCACCTATTTGATTTTTCCAATTCTTGTGCTAAATAATAAAATAAATATTGAGTATATTGGTTTCTATATTGATACCTCGATCATTTGAACCATCAATATAGCAATAATAAATATAAGCATTCTTTAATTTTCTTACAATATCTTTTTCAAATAAAATTTCTTTAATCACAGATAATAATAGATCCCTAAAGTATTTACATATAAAATTTTGCAGATCACTTATGTCTTTTTTTGAGGAACAAAATTCATAGCTCTTATTTTAATAAGAACAATAGTCAGAAAATACTATAAATCAATAATTTGAATAATGAATAACAATTGTGGATAGTTTTTTTATAGTTATTAATTTAAAAATTTTAAAGTTTCCTAGTGTGAGATATTTGACTTTTGTCCTTGCCTCTCCCTTTAGGGACCTATCTTTAGCCACAGATAAAGACATTTGAATCTATTATAAAAAATTATAATTATATTATGGATATACATATTTGAATAAGCAAGGAACTTGATCAAAATTGTTTATTAAACATAGGCATATGTATACTTTTAGCTTTAAATCTCTCAAGAAATATATTTCTATAAACTCATCTTAATATTGATAAATTCTTTTATAAACAGTGAAAGACATTAAAATATTATTAAATAAATACCTTTTTATGAAATCCATGATATTTAAAGAAAAATAAATTTTGAGTTATTGATTTATATATTATTGTAAATCAAAGATAGAAATTAAACAAACATATCAATACTTAATTAAATAATTTAAAAATAAAAGTTGAGTATCATTGGTTAAAATCTAGATATATCATGTGAAGGTTGCATACAAGTATCCATATATTGTAAAATCTGAAATAAAGACAAGTAACAATGAGGAATTCTTATATTTGTCAAACATGCTATATAGAACTAAATATAGAAAATGATAAGTAAATCTTGTTGATTAAATATATTGCTCATAATCAAATAAATCATCAATTACATACATGACATTTTTCATTTAACTTCATCTTTATATAATACTTTAGCTTTTAAAATAGAATATTATAAACTGTTTCTATCTTTGTAACAAAATCCATGTCCAGCTTAACATGGTTAATTATATATGTTAAATAGGTTTAACATATAAATTTTGATATTATTTATATATAAAATAGTATTTAATATGTTAAATAAAAGTCTTGCTGACTCTGGATCTAAAAAAAAACTCTTTCCACTGATCCCCAAATTTTTAGAAAATTTCCTTTTTTGATAATTTTTTGAGAAAAAGAGAAACTAGCCAAAAAACAAGAGAAACCATCTTTACAACTAAACAACTTACAAAAACAAGTTTAAGAACTCTTTATAGAGTGCAGAAGAGATAAGTTTTAGAAAAATTACTAACTTCTCTGCATAAATTTTTTCTTATAGAAAGAGAAAAACAACAAGAAAGACCGAATCACAATAAGCTCTTGGAAGCCCAACATCAACCTCACAAAGCTTCTAGCCAGGCTAGTGCAGGTTAATACCTTTCTAGATACCAAGCGAAGCTTTACAAGTAATAACTCAAATAAATAAATCAGTCCAAATCCAAATACTCATAAAACCTAAAAGAACATCCAAGCTTCATTGACTATACAGTAAAGAATTATACACATCACAACAATAGCATTTTAATAATATTACATTATACAAATACAGATACATTAATTTTTCACAAGCTCAAAGATGTGTTAAATAAATAACAAGTTCAAAGACGTGTCAAATAAACAATATTAATATACTATCTACGTATTTATGTAAATCAATTATCAACAATCTCATAATCCCATATGTTTATGCAAATCAATTATCAACAACCCATAACCCCACATATTTACTATTGTTTGATCCACAATATCAACAATACTATTACAATATATACGTGAAATAAATATTATCAATATATTACAACAAACAACAAGATTTTTCCATATTATCAAAATAATAATAAGAAATAAACAGACCTATAACATATGGATTAACAGATCAACATTTTGTTCACATAAACAAGAATAAATAAACAAATAAGAAACAAGTATTACTCAAATAAGCAAGAAACAACTATTATATAATTCAGCACTACCCAAAACAGCATTTAATAAAACACATTAATACTGTATATAACAACCTACTCTCCATATTACATGATCAACATGTCCATAAGAAAACACAAACTCTTACAGGTCACTAAGAAAAAAGAAACATATATTATTGAAACTTTAGTTTAACTAACAGATAAATATAATCTACAAAGAAAGTTATGGGCCTCACAAATCTTCTTGAATGTCACTTTAACTCAAAAAACTATCACGAATCCAGTCCCAGGTCTAACTAGATACTCAATTATTAATAATATTATCAATAGAATTTTGGATGTTGATCACACTACCTTCATTAAAGCCAATGTTCTTAGACAATATATCTTTTATTTATGGACTATAGGACAAGGAAAAGAAGAAGATCTTCTAGCTCCCTTTTTAAAAGACAAATACCTGAATATAATAGAACAGGTAGAACAAGCACAATACATCTTACAACCATTGTCAACAAATCAGTTGATGATTGAAAGTAATCTTCCTATTAA